GCCCCCCCTCCCACCCTCCCGAAATTCCTGGAGATTTGAGGGGTGGAGCCTGGGTAACAATTGTTACCACTCTCCAGGTGAGGGCTAAAGATAACTCAAAAATACAAATGCTCTTCAGGTAGCACAGATCAGTCCCTCTGGAGAAAACAGTGCACTCTGTCATTATACCCTGCTGAGGTCGCCACAGGAAGCTGACACTGTTTGCCCAAAGCCAGAGCACTCTCCCAGAGCCTCTTTCTAGATCTCGTTGTATTTATTTCCACAACGGGCCTTATTTCTAGTAAGAACATAAGAACATAAGAGATGCCAATGTTGGATCAGACCAAAGGCCCATCCAGTCCAACACTCTGTATCACACAGTGGCCAGAAATACCAGGTGCCATCAGGAGGTCCACCAGTGGGGCCAGGACATTAGAAGCCCTCCCACTGTTGACCCCCCCCAAGCACCAAGAAGACAGAGCATCACTTGCCCCAGAGCCCCTATCTATACCTTGTGGCTAATAGCCACTGATGGACCTCTGCTCCATATGCTTATCTAATTCCCTTTTGAAGCCGTCCATGCTTGTAGCCGCCACCACTTCCTGTGGCAGTGAATTCCAATCTGAGGAGACATTTTCCCAACCAATGTGCAGGTATCTGAACTCACCCAGTATTTTGTATTTATTTAGGTCTTTATACCCTGCTTTTCTTCCCAGTGGGGACCCAAAGTGGCTTGCAAACATCCTTCTCTTTATTTTTTTTCCTTAAAACAACCCTCAGAGTAGGTTACACTGAGATAGTGAGTAGACTGGCCCACAGTCAAGCAACAAGCTGACATGGCAGAATGGGCGTTCAGACAGGATTTTCCCAGGTCTAGTCCAGCACTCTGTTCACTGCACCACACTGTCTCATTTAGCAGCAGCTCTGATTTCTTCCTCTGCCTTTACTGGGGGTGGGGGGGGTGGATTGATAGTGCTCTCCAAGCACTAAGTTACTCTTCAGGCTACCCACAATAAAACGGCCAGTGACCCTGTGTAGATCTAATGCATGGCCTCATTTGGGATACTGTCTGCAGTTCTGGTTGCCGTATCTCAAAAAGGACATTGCAGAGTTGGAAGAAGTAAAAAGGAGGGCAACCAAATTGTTAAGGGACTGAAGCACCCCTCCTATGGAGAAAGGCTCAAGAGTCTGGCACTTCTTAGTTTACGGGGGGGCATGATAGAGGCCTATGAAATTATACACAGGGTAGAGAGAGTGGATAGGAAGAAATTTTCCTTCTCTCTCCCAAAATACTAGAACTTGAGGGCATCCAATGAAGCTTATGAGCAGTAGATTCAGGTTGGATAAAAGGAAATACAGCTTTACCCAGAGTGATGATTGAAATGTGGAATTCACTGCCAGAGGATGTAGTGATGGCCCCAGGCATAGATGGCTTTAAAAGAGGATTAGACAGTTTCATGGAGGATAGGTCGGTAGCTACCAGCCATGGTGACTAAAGGGAACCTCCACATTCAGAGGCAGTCACCCTTTGAATCCCAGTGCCAGGAGGCAACATCAACGGAAGACCTCGACCTCTGTGCCCTGTTGTTGGCCCTCCAGAGGAATGGGTTGGCCACTGTGAGACAGGATGCTGGACTAGATAGACCACTGGTCTGATCCAGCGGGGCTCTTCTTATGTTCTTATACTCTGTGGAAGAGTTTGCTCCTCCTGTGAATTTTGTCTCCTCTTTTGTGTATAGAGCAACTCTAACCCAGCCTTCTCTATCCTTCCTGTAGAATTTAAATTCAGGCATGATTGTGTCCCATTGACTCTCCTCATTCCTCCAGATTTATGCCTCCTTTTAGTACGAAGCACTCCAGTCCCCTAGTTGGTTTGGAGGTTTCTAGTACTGGGACATAAAGAACACTAGTGTACCCTCACTGTGCACAGTTTTCCCTGTGACTTTGTCTCCTCTAGATGGGTGTGTGTGTGTGATTTCTTACCAAACACTCACTCACAATTTCTACTCTATTTCCACTAAGATGCTGTGATAACTTTTGGGTTTCCTTTGACTTTAGGGTGATCAGGTGCCTATTTCAGGGCAGGATGGTTGATCAGATGTTTTTGGCTGCACAGTTTGTGCAGCTGGCATGACCTCAGGGTGTGTGTGTGATGAATTCAAATCCTGACTCTGGAAGACTCTTGGTGATGAGAAGTCTACTCTGTCAATGCCAGGAGATTGCTGGCATTCAGCAGAATTACAGCCAGTTCCTTTTAAATGCTTTGTTTTACTTAATCTGTGTTTTGCTTCTGTGGCCAACAGTGATAGAAAAGGCACAAAAGGGATTCCTAATCTTGCCTGGAGGGCTTTGGAGTCCTTTAAGAGTCACCTGCTGTGCCTCTGCTCTAAAAGAGAATCCTGGTAGTTGTAAGGGGGGGGGGGAGTCACTCAAATCATGTCTGCACTAGGAATTTAAGCTGGTTGTGAGGCCTGCTTAACGATCACGGAATATCAGCCAAAGAAACTGTGGGACTATATTTCCCTGAACTGGCAAGTTTTGAAAGGATTTTCAGGGGATTGTCAGGGGATCTTTCCCAAAGTTACTCACTTTCCACCTTGAGCAGTACTAAGTAACTTTGGAATAACTTTGGAAATGATCCCCTGATGAAGCAAACTGCGAAATGTGTAGGGATCCACAAGAAGTAAAGAAAAATTTTTTTCACTTTGCACCTGTTTTTCTACAGACATTCTTGTTTTCTTTGAAAGGATTCCCAGCCTACATTCCCCAGAATTCTCTGTAAGATGCTCAGATCACCGGGCCAAACTAGGCCACGACAGGTCAAACGGTGCTCAATCCAGGCCTGTTTTGGCTCAAGAAAACAATGCATGAAGGTGGGGAGGGAGGCTGAAGCCTCGTCTCCTCTGGCACAGTTGTCCTGATCCAAATTGCCTCCCCCCCCCCCCCCCCCCCGCCGCCCGGTTGTTTCAAGATGATAGTGTTCGGCTGTAAGCCAACAGAAGTGGGGGGATGGGGGCCCCCAAACCAGACTCAGGCCAAACTTCACATCTAGTTCAGCCCTAATGAAACTACTTTCGAATGACTTCAGATTATGTAGGCTTCTCTGCAGCAGAGCGCATGACTTAGCACACTGCTGTGTCTTGGTACAGGTAAAGAGGTGTGAGCTCCTGTTCTAAAGACGTCTCCGCATCCTTCAGCCGAGGCATGTTCCAGCCGACACATCCACCATTGTGACGCCGTGAAGATCACAACCAGCAGGGAAGCGGCCTCCTTCTGACAGACTGAGTGGCTTTCCTGGGGGAGGGAGGGGGGGGGGCACTTCCTTAGGTTTGCATGTCCTGTCTCCATAGGTGTTCCCATGCTAATTGGGCAGAGCCTCATCTCGGTCTCCAGGAGAAATGCAAAGAGCAGCTTATCAAAAAGCCAAGCCGCCCTCCTGTGAAAGGAAGGGTCTCAGTTTCCTACCCAGCAGCCTCATCACCACCTCATCATGCCACGGGCATTTCCACTTGTGACCTTCGATCCCTC